TTCTAGAAGTAGCCGACCCCACCCCACCACCCTATCAATGGTACGATTGATACGTAACACTGAGCATTCCATTGCCCATCGATTCCACGAATTCCAAGAATTTCTCGTCCTCATCCGTGAATGGAATATTTAATAGACAAAAAATTCATCTTAATCTCGTTTTGATAATTTTTTAAAACAATTCAATTTGAGTCAAATGGAACTTATTTGGATTGAGTTATAGATCAAGTTTGACTCGGAGATATGAAATTCGATATATCGATATGAATCGACTTAATTTTTTCGTTTGATTCGAATTTATTTATTGATTGGATTTTTTAATTCGGACCGATTAATCGATAATTAATCTTAATTAGTCTTGATTAAGATTAATTAAAATTAATCTAAAATAAAATATAAATTCAAGTTGGGGCATCCCTTCTTAATTTTCAGTAAAAAATCCGTTTACCGGGAAATTTTTCTCACGCGATTTGAGCGCAAAACTTCGCTATCTCTCTGCTCAAATAAATCATAATAATTTGTCTTTTCGCTCGAGGGGAATTGGATGAGTACAAACTCAGGGACGAGTTTAATTGGGAATTATGAATCTTCTTTCCTCAATTTTTTTTAACACCCGAGCAAGTGCAAAAGTTTTATGATCCGTTGAACGTCGATCCATCTCGTTAGATTCGAGGGAAGTAATGGCAAACTCTCACCCAGGGGTTGAGTCGAGGGGATGAAATCCTAAGGGTTGATGGTAATGAGCGTGAATTCGAATAACTCGACACTAGAGCCCCAAAATCTACTGCAAGATGTCTTATTAATCGGGTTACACTCAACTATTCCGTAACTACAAATATTTGGAGATAATTAGAGAGTCACTTAGCGGGTTGTTCCTCCAAAAGTGATAATTACGGTTCCCTTGGTAAATAAGTCCCAAAAAAAGTCCCCAAAACGATCAGACGACCGAATTCACTGAATAATTATTGTCCAAAATAATTTTAAACCCTCGGCAAACGATGAAAAAGCAATATGATAAGTTTCAAGAAAATTAAAAACGGCAGATGATAAAAAAAATATTCAACCCAGCGAACATCAAAGGACAAAACGCGCGGGTGCATTTGAAAAAATTGGGGAGCTAAAAAAATGATATTGAATCGAATTCATCGAATATCAAAATGAAAAATGGGCATACAGAAGTTGCCAAATAAAATTTTCCTAACCGAAGAGTGGAATTAAAACGCGAAGTGTGGAAATCCCCAAAGCTATATTGTTTCCACCCATTGGCGTTGATCAATAAATCGTATAAATCTGACAATCCCTTAATCCCTCTCGACAACCATTTTCAACACTTTTCAAAGTTAAAAACAATTGTTTTGATGGATTAAAAATTACCCCATTGAGAGGATCAGCTGTCAAGACCGAGTCCTTTCAGCACTGAATTCTACAAAGTTGAAGGATTTTCAGTAATGAGGCCGTAGTATACACTGAATAAACCCCTCGGTCCTGTCTATTCATCGAATAAACTTTATGTTTGGCTCTCAAAGTCTCGTGTGGATCATCCACAATTTAAATTTCAACATCAAAGACTGAATGGTGCGTGATAATTACCGCCATTACCCCCTAGTCAAGAAAATTCGATAAGAATTTCAAACGGTTTAATCAAAATGAAGAATAATCTCAATTCAATTATTTTTTCATCTATATCTCATTTTTCATAACGTTTAATTGTAATTATCATTTTTGTTGGAAATTAATTTATTGGAGGTCGAATGAGAGAACAAAGGAAAGAGGACAATGTCATTATCATTCCGATCTGCAGTTGCCTCTCCCCTCCCCCTTCCCTCTTGCCCCATCCCCCTTATCAGTCAATTGCAAACTCCTCAGTGTCATTACATACGTAACTCATGTAACTCCTCGCTACTTAAATTGATAATTCACCAATGACTGCCTCAAGGTTTCCCGCGAACGAACGGAAGAATAAATTCAGCGTTCAAGTAAAAAAAAAAAATAGAATTCCCGATTCAATTTTCCAAATCGTCTGAATTATCGTGAAAATCTGAGATTTCCACGATTTCCGCGAAATAGGCTAGTTGTTAATAAAAGTGACTGGAGTTGAAAAATCCGGGGAAAATTATTCAATTAGAGGCGCCACGATTTTGTTTTAATTACAGCGTTTGCAGTTTTTATTATAGCGCGCTTTTTCATATATATATATTTTTTTTTTTCACTAGTGAGCCGGATCTCGGTGGGTATGGAGTGGTGTCATCGCCAGAGGAAATGTGCCCAGTGGAAAAAAAAAAATTAAATTTTCCATGCCGTGTAAGGGAGTGAATGCTGGGACAATGTGGCCGGATGAGAGAATCCCGCGGATTATAGGGGCAATGTCCACGACTTTTTCCCCATTTCTCCATTTTTTTAACCCCAAGTCCGTATGAGGGACATACTTTTATTGTCTCTCGGCCCGTAAAAACCACGGGAATTCTTCCATGGCCATGAAAAATTTCATTTTTATTTCCACCGAGAGTAACGAAGGAAAATCTTCGCTAGATTTTTCACGGACCGAGTTTGTTAATCCAGTAGAGCCGTGACATTAATTTATTGTTTTAAGAAAGAAGAATAGAGATTATTCCCAAGATTTTTCATTTTACCACGAAATTAATATTTGCAATCCTTTGATGCCCCGACGGATTAAACGCCATTATTAAACTCTATTAGGCCCTGAAAATTAACCTTGAATGGATAATATATAATTCTGCCTCGAATGGTTGACCCATGTGACGCGTCGAAGTGCTTGACCTTCGAATTTGACCCGCGCGTCACCCTCCAATTCCCCATTTGACCTCCGCCTGACCTTCACAGGGATTAACGAAACTTCAGGAGTGATCCCCTCGGGATTTCATTTATAGAGTTAATTCTAATATAACCGAGTGGATGAATTCACAAATCGGAGTGGTAGAGCCACAAATTTGCTCGCGAGTGGTTGACCACTTCGTGATGTAACAAACGGTGGGGGATTCTTGGCACAACCGCTCGCTTTTCGAATGCAGGCCAGGGTCACACACAGTTTCGCATGGATATTCGAAATGCAAGAGCGTTTTGGGCAATTGGTCTAGTTCAATCGTTTCTCGATAAACCACTGATTCACCTAATTCACGGGAATCCCAGAATGCAGTCGATAATGACGGAATTTTTAAATTTATCGAGGGGAAGTGTCACGAAAAAAGTAAGACGAAAACTGAACGACCGACTAATCTCAAAAAATTTCAATGAACGCCCGTGTGAAAAATTTTACGGAAAAATGAGAATTTTTTTTTTCGACGATCAGCACTACCTCAGCAAAATTATCTTTCGAGGCAATTTTCTCAAGCCAACCCATCAAACAACAAAAGCCATTTGAAATTCTCCTCCAACTTTATTTCATTACCCCCTCGTTCTTAGACATAATTCTTCCGAAAAATGGGGAAAAACTGGCGTAAGAATAATTTCTCCACGTGCGTAGATTCTCCGGTGGAGAATTATGGGGGCCACTCACCCGTAATACCCTGGTGGATAAAAAGTCGGGGTAAAAAGAGTTTAATTTCTCCTTCTCCTAAATTAGTCCCTTCCATCTCGTCTAGTCTACAGCAGTAAATATGCCTGTTGTAATTTAGTTGAGCGACTACCCGTTGCTCGACTTAACAAGCTAATTACGAGGATAATTATTCGATCTCTCGGTGACGGAGGAAATAGTAATCGCGGAAAATAGTCATTTTCCGTCCATCGCCGATTTTTTATTTATCTCAGTGTTAAATTGAATTTCCGACTCAATTACTATGGGATTTTATTAATTTTTTTAGAATGAATATATTGAAAATATGAAGAATCATGAGGAATTTGTTGATTTTTCCATCTGAAGAAAAAACCACGGGCAGTCAGTAACTTAATTCCGGCCCATTTGGTCTAACTCTGGGATGATATACGAATCTGCTTTTCACCCATTTACGTGGGTGAAATACGTACTGAGAATTTACGATTGTCCTAATGGCAGGCAGGGCTTGTCCCCATCCCATGGCCATTAATTATCCCAGGACAGGAATTAGAAAGCCATAACTCGAGTGATCGATATGGATTTACGACGCGTCGTAGTAAATAATCAAGAAGCTATCAAAACTGTTAAAAATTTCTAGAAATTCAAATGAAAAATTCCTCTAAATTTTCCACAACCAAAATAATGAGAGAATTTCTAATAGAATTTATAAATAGTTCTACTTGAAATTACAAGTGTAATTTTCAAACGGTCTAATTTCTCAAAGGAGTCATTAATTCCCAGAGAAAAAGAAATAGCCATTTCTGTCTGATTATTCATGAAATTATAAATCTTCAATGGTTTGGGATCCGAGTGCAATAGTAACACGATAAAAATTTTTAATATTTCGATCGAATCCGGAATAAAATTCTCTCTAATTCGGAAGAAAGTACCTCAGTCTTAATCCCAGTCTCGCTCTCTTCCCTTCCTCGTCCCGAATTCAACGGAAATTCAACAAAAGTGGCGGTGGAAAGTGCGAGTTTAAATAACGCTTAAACCGAAACTTTTGTGTTGGCCCGGGTGGTGCCTGAAATATTTCCAGCCCGAGGCGATATTTAAACGTGGATTTTCCACAAGTCTCGAGCACCAAGTGCAGTTAAAAGTATAATTAGCCCGTTTAGCGCACGATACCCCTCTCATTATTTATCCCCTCATATTATGGTCTTGGGTAGTTGATAACCCCAGGAAGACGATGACGATATCGATGAAATAAAGTCGTGAAATCCTGAGAGGGACATGTGAATAGCGAATGCCAACGAGATATCGTGTCCAGGACAATTCCCAGAGACAAGTCCTTAATCCATCGGTAATTAACGTACGATTTACCCCACCCCTGTGACACTAGACTCTAACTGCTTAATTAACCGGTTTTCCAATACTCCGGGTGTGAGGAATTTTCCGGTTGAATTAGTTGGCAATTTATTTAACGTATGATTGAGTAAATATGACTCACCGGGAGATGTCCTCCTGCGATACAGCCCGGGGTGTTTGGCTGCCATGAAGTGCCAAGGATGAGGCATGTCGAGACTCCTGAGAATATGCCAGCGAGTTCTCCAGAGCTGATACTGAGCCATTCTGTTTGCCTGTCACACGTAGAATAAGTTTGAATTAAAAAAATGTGAATGAAGAAAATTTGGAATTAAATAAAAAATAGATGAATGTGATGAAAAATAAGAATTTATCGGGATGTTTATTTTTTGAGGGGAATTTCTCGAAGAATCTATTGAATGGAGCGGAAAAATAATGGGGGGAAGATAAAATGCTTACGCGGTTGCGGTGACAGAGAATGGTCCGAGGCTGGAGGTGGTGGTGGCAGAATCCCTTCCGGTTTGGCAACAAGAAGTACTACTCGGTCCTGGGTCGCCTTCAGAGTGGCCACTGCCTCCTCGTGCGTCACGTTCTCCAGGTTTTTCTCACCCTGAAGCATTTTTCAAATGGAATGGTTTTGATGATTTATCGTGTTGGGGGTTGTTTGGGGTTTTATAGGGGTTTTTTATCAGGTTTCAATCTGCCAAAAGGGGAAAATCGTGGCCTCGAGGTTCTCCAGCTATTTTGTGAAGATTTTAATATTTTCGTAATGAGCAATTGCCAGGGAAAAATTACGGAGGAATTTCACTGAGAATTTCAAGAGTGACGAGAAATTCTCCTGATACGAGAGCTCTCGAGGTATTTTCCCATTTTCGCAAGAAATTTCTCCTCCCTTTCCTTCACAATTTAATATATCACAGGTGTCACTGTTGGCGCCAACCGGAAGAAGTTGATAATTTTTTTTCCCCCCCGTCTGAAACTCCTGGTCTTAACGACCCGACAATAATGACCCCTCGGAATTTCGGAGACCAACTTTTCGCGCCTCAGTCGCTGGTAAGAAGGACCATTATATCGATCCTCAGCTGTGGCCGCTTTTGCTTCTTATTCTTTGATAAATAATCCTCTCTGCTAATTAGTTTTGTAAACTTTCATAAGTTCTCCCACCTCTACTTCATCAGCCTGAGGAGATTATCTCTATATCGCGAGATACAAAACTCTCAGTGACATCAGTGGATAGACTGGAAAATTTTAGGTCGAATAGAAAAAAAAATTGTTCACTTTGCCCCAGTAGTTCTCGAGATAAGCCCTAAAAACAGTTTCATCCCGTCGTGCGTAAAACGTAACTTTGCACACGAGGTACTTGCTAATTTCTCAGAATCAAAAATCACGTGTCGGACGCATATCAATATATATTTTTTACTCTACCGGTAAAAAATTTGCAATCCTGAAAAACTGGGCGGTACACGGCCGTGGGAAAAATGGAACTTTACGCACTGGCGACAGGGGACACAAATAACCGCGATATCTCAGAAACTACTCGGCCGAATTTAATGTTTTTTTTTTTAATTCCGGTTGAAATTTTCTTGCCTTTCCAATGGGATCACTCGGAGCGTCGGATTCCGACGATATTTTTGGGATGGAAAAGAAATTCGTCGACGGCTTGGGGCGATAGAGTAAAATTTTTTTCTCGATTGATCAGCTCATATAATCTCGTGCGAAAAGGGTGTGATGAAATACGATAGTATATTTGTCTCACCAGTGTGTTCTTGACGGCCACCAATTTGTCGCCAACAACGAGACGTCCGTCAACCTGAGCAGCTCCACCCTCCATGATCTTCGTGACGTATATCCCATTATCACCGGGTATGTGCTGATTGCCAATTCCACCAGCGATACTGAATCCAAGGCCCTTGTTACCCTTGATCAATTCTATCTCGACTAGGTGAGAGGCAGTATTTCTCCGTCTTCGAACGTACTGAAAATATTGACGAAATTTTCCAAATGAAAAACCAACATTTCCCTGAAATATCTCTCCTACAAATTTCCCCTAAAAATATCTCATCACCCCGGTGAATTTATTTTACGTAAAAAAAATTGGCTTTATCGTTCTGCATCTTCACTTCAGCTGCCATGAAAGTAAATTCCAAATCCCGAAACGAGATGATAAAATAGTTTTCCCGCCCTTCAATAAAATATAGATTGGATTTCCTTCGAAAAAAAAAAACAGTGGAGAAAGAAAGTGCCGGGTTAATTCGCAAGAATCGAGGCAATCGATTCATAACCACGTCAGCTGTTCCTTTCAGACGTTGAGATATTACTCTACTCTTTTATTTTCGGTGCAAGAGGAGAAGTAAAAATTGAATTGAATTGACGAATAGAAAAAGAAAACTTTTCAATATTTTGCGCTTCGCGTCATTTTTCCAATGACAACATTAACAAATAATAACCCATTCACATTTATCCCTTTAATTATTCCTTTAAGAATGTTTCTTTCAAAATGATGAGAATTAAAAAATTTGGAAATATACAATATTATAAATAATATTATAAATGAATTGTTATAAAATTATTAAAATTTGAGATTAATGCATGTTGGGTTGAATTATTTGATAGGGGATGTTTTCGATACTTCTAGGAATTAATCGATCAAATGACGACTCACCAATTTAACGGTATTGCCAGCTTTCTTGAGTGCGTCGACGGCCGTCGCGTGGGGTACGTCGACGACCGTAACGTCATTCACCTGCAGTATCGTGTCATTGACGCGCAAACGTCCATCCGCAGAGGCAGCACCACCCGGTATGAGTTTTGTAATATAAATTGCTGTGTCATTGCCAATGTGGGGATTGTCAGTTCCACCAGCGATACTGAAGCCAAGACCTGCACCACCGCGTTCCAAAACAATTTCCTCGTACTCGAAGTCATCGTCCCCATTCGCCTGCAAATCATTGAAAATAAAATCATCAAAATATTGACCAAACATACCAAAGATAAATTTATCGTCAAAACTCTAGGGTCTGCATTCGGATGTACCTAGAGTCCAGGTGCTAGAACGAATACCCACCCCTTCGATAATTGAAATTATTAATTAATAAATAAAGAAATTATTCGGGCGTCTGGTGTAATTTATTTATGAAAAATTGTAAATATGTCCTGGACTACCCCTCATTAAATGAGATGTTATGTCGAGGATGTTGACTTCACCATCCCCAACAGCATAAATTTATTAATCTCGTATTCCGGCTTATGATAGGGTCAGACCGGTTGAAATTTACAGCCTCGTAAATGTGTAATTAAATTGAGACTCTTCGGAAGGGTATGAGAATGCTACACCCTCTGTGATTAATAGTCCAGAGTGGAGTTGCATTAAAATCTGAATATTATAACGCACCCTGAAGAAATAGCGAGATATTGATAACTGAAATTTCTCCACGAATAAATTGAAAAACATAAAAATCCCATTGTTTCCGTTTATTTCCCTCGAGAAATTTCACATCAATAATCAAATTGTTTATTAAATCAAACATTATAATTAAAAAAAAAATTGTCAGGACATTTTGGGAGAATTGTATTTAAAAAAAATGAATGAAAAATGACGGACGTATTTCAACGGAATAAAATGATATTTCCTTTTTCAATCCTCTGGTCCATCCCCATGATGACCATAAATGAGGTTAAACCCGGGTTCAATGGCACCGGAAATTCCCCAGGATATCCACCACACGCGACACTAAATTCCAGCCTCCAATGAGCAATTAATCATGAAATAATATGATTTCGAGGGGGCGGAGGGAGTGGTCGGTTAGAAAGTAACAAAGTGAGGAGGGGGAGAAATTATTACCATTCCGGTAGAGTGGAGCGTTCGCAAAGTGGCAATCATCGTCAATGTAGCAAACGTCACCGCATATTTCTCTTCCTCTCAACTTGCACTTCACTTCACCCCTTCTGAACTTTTGCCACTATCACGCAAACAGCTTTACGACTTGATTGATACGAGTGACAGTTGATATCCCATCCGGCATGCAATCATTATCTAACTCGGTGAATCACTGTCAAGGTAGTGATTAAAAAAATATTCCACTCACCCCTTCGTTCAAATAAAATTTTCATAGATGAAAAATGAACTGAATCATTATCAATAAATTAACCGCCATCAATTTGAATTAGAGATGATGAGAGAGGAATTACTTTAATGAGTGATTAACTGACAATTTCTTTTTTTTTTTTACCGAATAATTGAGAGAATTTTTGGGACAGGTTGATTATGCAATTGAATGACTGTTTTAATTGTCGAATGAACTTCCGATAATCTCGAGTTTCTCGTGGTCGAGTGTGTGACTGACTATTTTCAACTGCTCGTGAAAATACACGACGAGTTTTCCCTCGAACTGTTGAATCTAAAACTAAACGCTTGTCACATCGACGCGCTTCAGCCGAAATAACTCGAGTCTTTTATTCGGGTGATACGTCTCGTGTTAGTGAGGAAATTTTTGGCTTCAATTATTTTACATGATCGCGAATGCCATAAATCGTTCTCACCGGTGAATAAAACGACCCACTTTGGCTCAGCTATTGCCGAGATGTTGAAAAATTATTTTATCGTTGCGTGGGTAAAACGTGACTTTACCCACGTGATATAAAAATTACGATTTCTGTATGAAATCCTGTGTGAACAGTTGACTTTTCAGCGTTAAACCTCAAATTTTTATTTTCTGCACGGTGTGTGGAAAAGTTCAACTTTGCGCACTGGTGATGCGATATGAAAATGCGTGATAACTCGGAAACCACTGGGCCAAAATGGGTCGTCTTTTTTTATTTCTCACTGAAATTTCCCTGGCTTTCCAATGACATCATTGAGAATCCATGATCTCTAGTGGTTTTTCGACAATTCGTCATTTTAAAAGGAATATTTTTGGGTTGAGAGACTAGATTTGTGGAGAGAAGTTCTGCGACGATTTTCTCCAAACAGAATTAACATCAGAAGTGAAAAGCAGAATAAACAAATAAAATGAGGTGAGAATTCTTATGCCGGAGTTGACTGCGTCCAACCAAACATACAAATACCAGAGCTATGTACCCAAGAAAATTCGCAAGTTTAACGTGTGTATAGGCTTCAAACTTCACCCAGAAACGGAGGTGAGTCACCCCGTAAACGTCTCCACAAACTAAATATAATTCCATGCCGAATAAATCCCAGTACTTCTGATTTATAAAACCGCACATCTGAGTAACACGACACCAGTTAAATCACGCAACAGGAGATAATGAGTTTGCGATGATTAGTGGTAGCGAGAAAATTAGCAGATGATATTTCAGAATGAATTCTGCGTAATTCGAATAATACCGGGTCTACAATTTTCCGGTGAAATTCAAGATGAAAATTTTCATTCATGGAAATGTTTCAATGAAATTTGAAATATCAGGTGGAAATCTCGAATAGTTGGACATTTATTCTGACAATGTAAAAATAGCTGGTAGATTATAACATTTTCAAGGTACAGACTATTGTCTCTGTGCAATTCCTAAATACCGTGCAGAGTAATACAAGATCCCCGACACGCTCCGAATGTCATTTCCGGTTACGTAGGCACGCGACAAGTGCAACGAAATACCATCTGCCTACATGTGGATTTATGTAGCATCCTCCAGAGATCATAAATAATACCAGGTAACATTAACCTACGACACTGGATCCAAGGCTATATACCGCCTTTTTTCAGGCACCCGTTCTAGTATTCGAATAGAAAAATAAGTGATGACCGTAAAATTGCGTAATTGCGCGATTAAAAAAAAATGTAATCGGAATATTTTTTTCCAAATTCTCAAAACATTTCCGGAAATCTTTTCGGAAAATTTTTCTCTTGAAATAACAAAACAATTGTATTTTTGGGAAATGTTTTGAAAAATTTTTCAAAAATTTATTTCGGAAAATTTTTTTTATAATTTTCTAGAAATTTTTGGGAATATAATTTTTTCTTTTAATTATACTGTTGTTTTCTTATTTTTTTTATTTTTCAATATTCTCAGAAAACGCCATCTAAATTATTAAAAAAAATTCCTATTCAAATTTTCGAAAAATTTTTCAAAACCTTTTCCAAAAATAAAATTGTTTTGTCCTCCGATTTTTTTTGTTTCATAAAAAAAATTTTCTGAAAAGTTTTCCAGAAATTTTTTGAAATTTAGGTTTTCAATGAATCAAAATCCCTAGAAGAGGAAAATTTCCAAAAAAAATCACCTACTCGTTTAATTAATTCAATTTCTCGAATCTCAATGAATGCACGAAAGCTGAGTACTTGCCGAAACTTCATTTTCACTTTTGAAGTGCATTAGGAAAATTGGAGAATCTCCAACTTTACAAACGCGTCGTCTACCCGAATCTCGGCAAATTCTCACCCTCCGATAAAAAGAAATTAGCGGAGTATCTCCCCCGAAAGTAGGACATTTTTACAGCACAATTTTTTTTCAAATGATATCTTAATCATTCAAATTGTCCCCCGGTTGAAGAATGAGAGGTCACGAAGAAAAGGTTTAATACCCTAATGGCCCTAGACTTGATGTTTTTCGAATTTTCCCAAGAACAATTGTTTTCCCAGACTTTCATTCCGTTTCCGGTTCTAAACACGAAACAGTGAAAACATTTCGCACTTACTCGCTCGTTTCGAACATTAATATTATCAAGATAAATTAAATTCCACGAATTTTCTTTCAATTTTCATGAATGCAATGAGTAATTCACGGATTTGCGGATTTTTTCTTCATTCTCAATATTTTTCTGGCGATAATAAAACCTCCAAACATATACAAAAAAAAATACCCGACGAGAGATTTTGATTTTGCGAAGAAGTTGAGATGAATTTGCAATTGAAAATCCCAAAAATCCTTTACATAAACCTCTAAAAATCTCTTCAACAATCAACTTGTCCAAATAAATGACATCACGTACACCCGATCACTCGATCAGGTGTGATTCGAACAATTGCATCACCCATTTCAAGCGAAATCGTTTATCCCAGGGGTCATCGAGAAGGTAAAACGTAGGTGTAGACGAAGTGGAAGTAGAAAAAAAAAATAAAAATAAATAGCCAAGTGGAAATCAGTGGAGAATGGAAACAGGATTAATCCCGACTAGCTCAGAGTCTACTCGTAAATTTATTCCAATCCTGTATTCCCAGTTTGTGTGGACTACACATTTATCCCCTTGTATTTTACTTTTTCTTATAGTTTTTCTCCCCCTGGAGGAAGAGGGAAGATCAGAGTCACCAAGTGGAGACATACAACTCTACCGTTATCCTGGTCACGTTTCGCCATTTTTTTTTTATTTCAAAGTTTTAGTTTTACTCTTTTCGGGTTTGTTTTTTTTTTACCGAGTTAAAACGTTCACTCCCAAGTGCTACTTTTTCCAAAAATTCACCCAGAATAATCCGAAAGTTAAAAAATCATGGAAATTCCAATTTCATTACGATTTCAATCAATTTAGGACAGAATCATTAATGAAAATTCATGCTTTAATGGTAATTGGCTACAAATATTTCAAGGCCAGTGAGAACTTTATCCTCTCGTCAAAACCGAAGACTAATTGACCTTTTAATCATTGATGAACCTAAAATTCCGTAAACAGTTGTTAATTCCGATGAATATTTGATAATTAAAAAGGGGAATGTTGTTTTCCACAGGAAATTGGTTGATTACGCCGGTGAGTTGATGATAAAATCGTTTTATTGACGTGGGTTCGGCACGAGATTTTTAATTTAGGTTTGATAGAGGCTCGAAGGATATTTGCATGTGAATAAAACATGAAAGAGTGAATGAGTGAAAGTTGAAGGGAAATTGTGAGAGAGAATGGAAATTTAGTGTTGAACAAAACTTTGATTAATTTAAATTGGCCCCAAAGTTTCCACCACCACTTTTCCCACATAAATAAAGATCAGGTAACCACCAGCATCTTTTCTAGCCAGAGGCACAGATTAAGAAGGATAATTTATTCATAGACTAATTAAGCGGGAGAATTATTTTGGTTGGATTCTTCCTCGACGAGAATTTTTAAAAAGCCTTTCTGTTTTTAACACTCAACTCGTCATTCTATCAACCCACAATCAACAGTCCCTTTTTCACTTGTGAATGAAAAATATCACCAAGATCTGTCGCATAATTTCTGAGGATTAATCGAAATACTCGAAACAAGTGCCCAGAATTGACAAATCATTTCCTAGGGAATAGTAAAATTCAGTGGAAAATGTATTTCCAAATAAAGCCACGGTGGAGACAAGAAAATCTAGTTTCCATTCCGCCCCCAAATCCATTTGGCTGCCGACAAAGCTTCCCTCATGTTCCATTCATTCCGGTCTTATCCTCTTAGTCAATTACAACCATAAAAGATTCAGTTTGAACTACGACTATCGACCAACTTCTGGTTAAAAAGAGTGAATGTTTTTCCGCCTTTTTCCTCTCAACAAATTGAAGACAGCATATCGAGATATAGTACCGAGATATACTTATCCTAAAACAAAACTCAATCCGGAAAAGCCCTTTTAAATTATCTACCACGAGATACTCAATATTGAAATTCGTTAACAATTTTCATGGAAATGGAATGTTTTTTTTTTGCAATGTATGGCATCGCAGAGGAATCACTAGATCGTGCCTCGAGGCAAAAAGTATTTTCAAAAATTCCAATTGAGTTTCAATCATCGGTTCAAAAGGAAATCTGTCGAAGATAGTACACTGTGAAAATATCTCGAGGAATGAGTGAAAAGTTAAAATCATGAAGGGCCGAACAAACAACCCCGCGTTTGTAAACACCGATATCAGTTTTTCCCCTGCGGTTAGCCGTTTTACATGGAAATTGCCCAGCAGTAGTCTACCACCGAAAATTGAAAAACTTGACTGCAATCCCTCGTTAAAAAAAAATCCCCACAAACAAATAAAATCATCCGAAACTTGTTTAACTAAATATCCGCGTGAAATCCATCACAGTTGTGAAACTTCTCGAATTAATTCAAACTTCTGACATTTTCCCCTCGGAAAATTCACTGTTAAACATCTATTTTATTTACGATTGAAATTAGAACGACTGAATGATTGACTGAAAATATCGAGTCAATTTTTCCTGCCATGAACCCATGATTATAATAATTATTTTCAGTACTTAAAAAAAATTGAACTATTAATCGACATTCAATCTCAAATTTCTCTGTGATTATTCTTTTTTTCCACTCCAAATAACTGAAACTCGATTAAATAAATTGGCGAAAAAATTCTAACAGATTTATCGTATTTCAAAAAAAATTTTTCTCTCGATACGAGATAAAAAAAAACCAGTGGATAAACTAATCCGAGCAATTTGTGGGGGCGAGAGAACGGAAGGAAGAACGGGTGAGGGTTTGTCAACCGAAATGATATATATGGAGGGCCGGTGCGTCCTGTCGGGTCTATTATGCCACCAGGGAGGGAATTCAACTCATGGAATGACAGGAAGAGATGTATTCCACTGTTTGTTACTACTGCCGAGATTGACCTAGACAAATTCTCCGTTTTTTCCACCCAAACGAAATTATTAGAAAATTGAGCAATTTTTAATTATCAATTTCTACCAATAATCAGTAATTTTCCCCGAGGCCCGATTTTCCTAGAATCAACTAAAACCGACTGCGAAGAAAAATGATTTCTACCAAAAAAATTAACTAGCCACAAGAAAATATATTTGGCGAATAAAATTGTTTGATTTATTGTGGAATTTTTTATTTTTTCTCTCTTTCTTTTATTTTATTTCTTCCGAATGGAAGCACTGGATTAATCAAATCCTAACTTTCTGATTGAATCTCGACTTGCGATGATTCAAGTCGAGACAACAGTCCAATTGTTCCCATTAAGTTATTTATCGCAATCAAAAAGAATCAACTGATAAATAAAGGAATGCTTATTGATGGTTCATCGTGAGTTTTGACGATTGAAAAATAGCTCAACAATTTTCATTCTCTCGCGTTTAACCCCGGAGTTGATTTTCTTTCAAGTGGAATCTTGTATTTCTCAACAAGTTCCATTTCTGCTGAGTTTAACGAACAGATTTCAGTCCCAGAGGAGTTGAAAATGAAACGTAAGTCACAGGGGGGACATTTCGGAGTGGCTGGCAATCGAATTAGTGACGCTATGAATCTACGTTGAAAGTTAAAGATGGGGATGAAGGGTGAGATGTATAAAAGCACGATGAAAATTGTAGGGGATGAGTTTATAAAGTTTTGCGTGAAACACTCGTCTTCGTGCACAAGCCGGTGCTTTTGAAGAGTTTCTCTTGGATACGAGACAAGAGAATCAGCGGAAATGGTTAAAGATAAAAAAATGTATATGCAGATGGCAAAGGGGATGAGGACAAAGGGTGAGTTTCGGCTTATTTTATTCCAACGCTTTTCATTTGAACTTCGGACGGAGCGTTTAAATCGTGTTTTTGGTGGATCTCGGGGAAGGGGAAAGCCTTTATTGAGGGGTGAATGGAAATTTCTACTTTTAAACGAGAATGTACCTCAATTAATTATTCCATTGATCTTTCGGATTTTATAAGGTGCTGATTATTACTAGTTGATTAATAAATAAATAGATGAATTATTATTATTTTTTTTTTCGTGTTTTCAATCGATTGAAAATTCCAATTTTTCCTCGCCGAAATCGATTTTAAAAAATTGTTATTCAAAATGTTTTTCATTAAAAAATCATCAATTAAGAATGAAAATAAATCTCTTTTTACTTTCAAGTTCAATTCAAACTGGCGTAAAAATTCAAATGAATTTGCGAGTGAAATTTCAATGAATTTTCAATAGTGTAATTAGAAAAAATTTTTATTCCGGTTGTAATTCTCGTTATGAAGATTCCAATATTCACCCCTCAATTGCTGAAATGTCAGTGTGATGCATCGGGATGAAGGTCTCAGAGGGCGATTGGTAAACTTTCCTTGATTAATTTCTCCCGGCGAAAATTGGAGAGGCGCAGAAGAGCGATAGTGACATCAGAGATGAAATGAGGGAACGGGTAATAACGAGTGAGGATGGAATATGCGTTAGAAATTGTCGAGTGGAATTTCAGGATGGGGTTAACGATGTGGTTGCAACAGTTGATACCACCGGCAAGAAGATAATTCCCGCCTATGCGTGATTGATTGAATTCTCAATTAATACAATTTAATCCCCGGATTAATTGATTCCGCATTTTACTAATAATTGTCTCCCCACGGTGAAGAAAAAATTCAATATTCCATTTCTCTATCGAAATTTGTTGAGGGAATTCCAAAAAAATTATTTTTAAACTGGAGATGCCGAGATTTTTCGGTTTTATGCACGATATTCTGGAGCGAATGCTAATCGGGCGATTAATCATTTCGATCAGCTAGATTCCCGGGTAAAAAAAAATTGTTATATTTTTTTTTATTTTTCAGAAAATTTCTGGAAAACTGTTCAGAATTTTTTTTTTATAAAACAAAAAAAAATCGGAAAACAAAATTTTATTTTTGGGAAAGGTTTTGAAAAAGTTTTCAAAAATTTGAATAGGAAAATTTTTTTATAGTTTAGATAGCGTTTTTTGTAAGAATATTGAATAATCAAAAAAGTAAGAAAACAACAGTATAATTAAATGAAAAAATTATATTCACAAAAATTCCTAGAAAATTATAAAAAAAATTTTCCGAAACAAATTTTCGAAACATTTTTCAAAAATGCAATTATTTCGTTTGCCGAGATTTTTTTGTTTCAAAATAAAAATTTTCTGAAAAGTTTTCCAGAAATTTTTTGAAAATTTGGAAAAAATATTCCGATTACAATTTTTTTTTACCCGGGTTGCGTCTAATTGAGAAACTCTAGATTAATTTTTACTCACATGTCGAGGATCTGCTGCGAGTAGCGGTGTATGTGCCTGTAACAACGATTTTTCCGGAATATTAGACAAACAGTCACGAGTCTAGACTCTTCTAATCAGGAAATCTGTTGTTTCATGCGGGAATTCTAACACATACATCGACAAATAACATTCCTTGCGGCTAAAACTAATTCGAAATACCAACGGAAGAAACAAAACGAAAAAAAAAACCGAAAAATTCTTGGCACCTGCAGCTTTTTACAAAAAAACTCGTCAAATTTTCGTTTTTCCCAGAGAATTTTCCTCAATTGTCACACATGAATAATTTTCAAACGGATTCCACCCCCCCCCCCATTCTCTCGAGGTTTTGTCCGCATGTCCCTTCATTAATTAAAATAGCTCATTTCTTCGTGGAATCCACGAATTCATCCGCTGAAGAAATAAAACAGGGACGAAGGGGTGAAATGAAAAAATCTCGGATGGGTTCAATTAAATTTTCCAGTGAAGTGATTTAACCAGGGGTTGTTAAATCCATCCCCCCTCTGTATCCGTCATACCCCATGCATTTTCCTCGTTTTTGTCAATTCGCTAGTCCCCTGTCACATACCCCTGAGCCACTAATTGAAGCACTCGTTATGAGAAGATATCCGCGACGTACAGAAATTTTTAATTAAGGGATCATTTGTTTTTTACGATCACACCCTCCGAATTTTGCGCATTATTTACACACTCGTGTGTGCGATTAATTAATAGATTACAATTCCATTACACGGGTAACGACAGGCAATCAGGATTTTTCGTGATTAACGTTTTTTAATTGAACATTCATTAATTATTCGCCAATTCCATGAATTTCACCGATTCACGAAGAATGACTTTTCAGTTAGGTTTTTCGAAAAAAAAAATAAATAATAATAATTCAATCGTCCCCCGTGCAATTTTTTCGTGAATCCTCGTACCGTATAAAAATGCCATTACGCTGATATAATTAGCATGATAATTTTTCAGAAGGCTGTACGTCCACACGAAACTAATTAAATCTCTCTCTCTGAAAATTTTGATGTACAGGGGAGTGAGAATTTTGGTAACACAAGGGGATGAAATGGGTGAGACACTGTGGTCCCCCCCAAGTCGACCCGTAGGCGAGTCTTTGGTGAAACGAGCCAGGAAGACAAGATAAAGGGAGGTTATGAGACTCGTTATCGTCGTAAAGTGCAAGAGGGACTGAGTGCCTTCTTCCCAGAATGAATTGCCCTCACTTTACGGCAGTCACTCGACGTGAATCGGTGTCTCACTGAATTATTGCACTGCAATCAACATCACTGACACTTCACTATTTTTCAACCCCCGAAATCCCTCAAATCGACTTTTACACACTCCTCAATGACTTTTTCAAAACTAGAATATATCACGATCTTTGAGGGTTTAAATAATACCTCACCCCTTCGACTAATAATAATATGATTTTTTGAAAATCTTAATTAATCATTTATACGCGATATTTTAATTTTTTTCTATTATATAGAAACGAGATTTAATTTTATGAAAAGATTTTCCAATATTTTGATAAATAAATAATGAATCAGGCGATATTTCTCTATTTTTCATTTTATGTACTGTAATGTATATAAGGCAGAAATGGTAAAATAAAGCGGCTATTTCCGAGGGAAATGGAATTTTTTAAGAGACTCATGGATTCCACTCGAGGACGCGGCCTCCTAGGATATTCTTAATAGATTTTTTTTTATATTCTCCTCACCTGCGCCTGAAAGATCGGTTCTCCTTTCATGCTTACGATCAAGGGGTTTACAAAGTGCTTAAATCCGTAATGTTCGTTGAGATGCATAGGAGACTAACTCGGTATTCGCCGAGGGAGAAATATACACGGGAAAATGTCAACGTATGTGTCATATAAGAGGTAACGGGGTATATTTCCGTATAAACCCGGCATTTACGAGGTACCATAAGGGCCCCAGGTGATATGCCGAGTAATGTCGTTTACGTGAATAAATAAAATTCACGGATTTCTCAGTGCCTAGGGCTTCAACACCCATAAAAATATTCAATCGATCGATGTGAGGCAGGAAAATCTCTCGCAATTCATTTCCCTGTTCCCGAAAAAAAAGGAGAAAATATGAGCAGCTGTCGGCTTCAATGAATACCTAGACAAATTTCCGATGAAAAATTCCGTATGACGATCCCTGAATTTTAATTAGATGCCGAGATAATTGCAAATAAAAAAATCTATTCGAAATTTCCCGCCTCACGCGCTCGCGCGCTCGCGCACCGCCAGTTCTTGAGCGCGCGAAAATTCAAATTTTGAAATACGCATTTTTGTTTTTTCAGATGGGGAGTTGGTGGGGGTATTGTGAATTGTCGCTTTGGGGGAAAAAATGAACCTGATAAGATAATTGTGGTGACAGGTGCACAAGTCCGGTTAATACGAACACTTTACCGGGGCGTCTGGCAATCACTCGAATTCGGTTGAATTTGCACATTTATGGAATATCGATTTCCCGGGGTGCACTCAACCACTCCATATATTCATATATTCCGAGAAATGTCGACTTCCCTGAGAATTTCTCTTCATCCCTGAGCGCTTCGTAGAAGCCGTAAAATCACTCTGACGAAATTGTGAGACACCTCCGGCCCACAATTTCCTCCCAATTTTCCTCAGGTTTTCATGAAATATCGACATTTCCCCGAAAACAGGAAGTGGAAAAATGTAAAATTTTTTCGAGTTACTATTTAAAATTAAATTGAAGTCAAAGTTAGACATCAGCCTAAATTTTTGAATTTCAAAAACTGAAATTTTCTCATTTCTCCAAAACAAATCACCCCCATCCCTCTCACAACCACCCTTGATGTGGATAAAAATAATTTGAACTTTAACTCATTTTTCTTCTCTCGGAAAAAGTGTGTTGAGCTTTAGTTTTTTTATCAACACCGTCACCTGATATCATCACAGCAATATCAGATATGTATTATACCTCTCGCGGTTTTTCTCCCGCCCAGATTCAACCTCCTTTGTGTACATAAATAAATAATGTGTACGTAGTTGCGGTTTTTTGGCAAAAGAGTGGAGGGATGAGGTGGTGTTGTGGAGCGATAAAGTGAAAAGGGAGACACGGAAACACTAGCAAAACCGCATCGTCTGGCTGCATGCACGTATTATGCCCTCATTTTTAATGCATCATTAAATAAATAATCCATTGAAATAAAAAAATTAAGAGAAATTATTTTTTCGTTATCTCTTACAACCTGTGAATATCACTTTTGTGTTTATTTTCGGTCTCCCTGTTATCTAGACACATTGATAACAGTCGTACGCTCGGCCTCGATTTCCGACCCCCTTGAAGCCATTGATAAAATTTTACGCGACTGATAAGACTTTTTATGGTTTTAAAACTGCAATTTCGATGTTGAAAATCTTCAAGTAATACCTTCGCGGCGGAATCAGTCAAAAATTCATGATTTTTCTGAATTGGAAAATTGACGGAAAAAAATCGAGAATTAACTGAAGAGCCATTAAAATTTTAGCAATGAAAACCTCAGTTCATTCGCCAATAAAGATTCAATATTTTAATTAGAAAAAAATTTTCTGAAAATAATTTTAAAAAACGCTACCAGTGACGTATCCCCAGACATCAATCCCTTCATGTCATTACTCCTGAGAGACTGTAGATAAATATGAATCCAGTTCATTCAAAATTTGTCAGTGAC